GGGATAAGCTGAACAATCAAGTTCTGTTCGATAAGGCCACCTACGAGAAATTATACAAGGAGGTGCCCGCTTATAAACTGATCACACCCTCGGTTGTCTCTGAGCGATTGAAGATCCGTGGCTCTTTGGCCAAGCGCGCTCTAATTGAGCTGCGCGAAAAGGGTAAGGGAACATAATCTGATTGGTGCTTATATAGAGCATAATTTCAAAACAAACTATTTCTAGGTCTCATTAAGCAGGTCGTGCAGCATCATTCCCAGGTCATCTACACACGTGCCACCAAGGGTGATGAGGCGTAAATTTAGTTTTACCACACATCTACAGTGCCGCACGCTATTTTACAATATAACAATTGATTGTATGGAAGTACCAAGGCTCTGCTACATGTAGTAGAATGTTGAATAAACTTGCTTTTTGATGTAAGAAACATGAGTGTAACATTTTATTGTATTGCATTTTGAAATACCGGAGGGAATGGGAATGTTTTAGCTTATTTAAGCACAAGCTGTATTGCAGCTTATAGGCTATTTACTACATACTTTTTAAAATAAATATTTGTTTGAGTAGACTGCATACACGGGTTCGATAGTTTTGTGTGAATGCCAATATTGTTAGTTGTGCAACCCTGTTGACGGAATGAATGTTTACTGGGTAGCCAGACGTCTATTTTGATGACAACACGGCAGATTGGTGCGGATTGTGTTTTCGACTGATTTAAAAAAGAAAATGAATTAAATTGCAAGTCTTCAGTAAAATAATAAAAAAAAATTCAAAAACAAAAGCGGTACTGCCAACACCTGTGTAAATAAACGGCTGTCTGAGCGGCACGTTGACGCAGCAGGAAACGTTGCGTGCGGCTATTAACACAAAAAAGTTGCCGCCGACGCTGCAGAGAAATTCTTAAAGAGTTTAAATCAGCAGCAGGTGGAGTGGGCCCAGGCTTAGCCCAGCGATAATACCACGTATGCAAACAATTACGAACTAAATTTATGTGTGTATGTGTGTGTGTGCGTCTTGGTCGTGTGTGTATGATAACACAGTAAAGATTTTTTTTATTGTTTAATATCTCTGTCTCAGCACATTCTACACCTTTACCGCTAAAATGATACCATTAACGCACAAGGATCGCAGCAACTTTGGCTACCGAGTGAAGGAGAAGCTGAACAGCTGGAAACGCCTGATCTTCGCTGATCCCAATTCTCGTAACTTGTTTCTCTTTTTAATGCTCAATCTTAGTTTTGCCTTCGTGGAACTCTTCTATGGCATCTTGACAAATAGCTTGGGTTAGCATAACGAACATATTTATATTGTATTACTCATAAGGCTCATAACTATATTTATGTTTATAATCAGGTTTGATCTCGGATTCGTTCCACATGTTCTTCGACTGCACGGGGTTGCTAGCTGGTTTGGCTGCCTCGGTCATAACGAAATGGAAAGCGAATGATAAGTTTTCCTATGGATATGTGCGTGCCGAGGTACTAGCTGGCTTTGTGAACAGCTTGTTTTTGCTCTTCATTGCCTTCTTCATACTTTCCGAGGGCGTCGAGCGTCTCATAGAGCCGCCCGAAGTGAAGCATGAGCGGCTGTTTGTGGTGTCTGTGCTAGGACTTCTTGTCAATCTGGTGGGTATCTATGCGTTCAATCATGGCGGTCATGGCCACTCGCACGGCGGCGGCGGCGGAGGACATGGGCACTCTCACGGCGGAGGGGGCGGAGCACATGGACACTCTCATGGACACAGTCATGACGCTCATTCTAATCACAATCATCAGGCTATCTCTATGGACAATGGTAAGGAGTTGCTATAGGCGTAGTTTGCCAATAACTGCATCCTTCTCTTTTGCTATGGCTTTCTAGGTCACGGACACTCACATGATCACAGCATGAGCCATGGACACTCGCATGATCTTGGCACTGGAAGCAATTCGCAGATCATGCGCGGCGTCTTTTTGCACATATTGGCCGATACGCTTGGCTCGGTGGGCGTCATCATTTCTGCAGTGCTCATGCAAATGTTTGGCTGGATGATAGCGGATCCAATTTGCTCCATATTCATAGCGCTGCTTATTGGGCTTAGCGTGCTTAGCTTAATCAAGGAATCCATACTGATACTGATGCAACGCCAGCCAGCGGCACTGGATCGTTCGCTGCTGCAGTGCTATCAAAAGGTGACTGGCTTAGCTGGAGTCTATTCGGTGCAGGAGCCGCACTTCTGGACGCTTTGCTCAGATGTCTATGTGGGTGCCATCAAGCTGGAGGTATCGAAGAATGTGGATCCCACGTATGTGGTAACGCATACGCGCATGATCTTTGAAGCGGTGGGCGTAAAACAGATCTACATTCAGCTCGACTATGTGTGATCCAACTTCCTCCTGTCCATGTATATATATATGTTATTATATATATATAAACACTATGTATATTGAGCAGCGCGAGTGTTGTGTGTGCGTATTTGTAATACGATGATAATTATGTGCTTTTATTTACCCAAATTCTAGTTTACTAGGCTAAATGCACTATAAAATAACAAAAACAAGCTGTAAAATGTAAATCTAATTAATTGTGAAAATTTTGTTAATTTATTTTCTACTTAAATTTGTTAAAATGATTCATTCCAACATTATCAATGCGAAGAAAGTGAATGTAGTGCAACAATTCAGCAACTGCTGTCTATATAGAATCCTAGTATAATTGTAATATATAAGTCCAAAACTTGTGCATTCTAAATAGTACATGGAGTTTATTTAGTCTTTTTTATGATTCGACAGAACAAACCTACACCATACATATTTACGAAAAATTTGACTGAATAATACACATCTACCAAAATTCCATTGTTTAAATGGAAATGCGAATCCAAATTGCAATAAGCCACAGTTTTTGCTGCATCAAAATTTCGAACGAAATAAAATAGAATTTGTTAACATCGTTTTTATACACAAAGAATGGTTTAGTTTTTTTCTCTCAGGAATTCAGTAATCATTTCTATAAAGGTGATACCTGGTTTACCTGGGCTTAGACTTCCTGATCTGTTCCGATGCCAGGCCATCAGGAATTCCAAATTCCTGTCTAAGAAGGTGGCAACTAATTCACCTGCATAACTTTGAACTAGCTAAAAAAGTGAAGATTTCGTTATCTTTTCTAATGACAGGCCGTAAAGAACATAGATGTACATACATACATATGTACATATGTATATTCACTGTACATCCCATAAACAGTAACTCAGCTAAATCTAAAATCTTTAAGAAATATGTTCATTTTGAGAAAGAGCTTAATAATTCATAATAAAATATTATCAAAATTAATAAATAAAAATAAAATATATACATATGTATTTATATACAAATATCTAAATACGTGCCCCACATGTAGTCATTGCAGGCAGTCCGCACTGTACGCAAACGTACACGCGATCTAACAGGTATACACGTGCGTCTTTGTGAATGTGCGAAAGTGTGAATGTATGCGATAAGCACCTAGACTATAGACGCTCGAGCCAGAGCACACACAAACAAATGTGAAAAAGCTTTCTTGACGTATGACGTACATATATAGAAATATGTGTGCACTGCACAGCTCAGCAAAGTGGTATGCAGATGATTGAGGTTAAATTGAATTTCTCAAAGCCTTCAAAATATAGGACAATTTACTTACGGTGGTGCATCAGGACAAGGCGAACAAATGTACATTGCGCATGACAACAGTCGTACAAACATTCGTATGTATCACTGCCAAAGGTCAATAACATTTGGGTTGCCCAGACCTTGTCGGAGTCAATGCCACACAAAGCGTGTGTTCATAAATAACAGTAGACGCAGCTGCAATGCCGTCTCGCCTGTGCCTACTTGAACCCACCAGAGGAAGAAAAGGTGTTAATATAATTTACGAATTCAGTTTGTGTATATGGTTTCCGTTTTATATATTTGTTTTAATACATACAAATTTTCTTACTTTTCCTGGTTTTCTTGTTTTGACATTCCGTGTTGAAAACATATACGAAACTATACAAAAATTGCTTTGCTGCTATAAAAATATTAAATTACGCTGCATTCAATTACAATAGTTATACGATAATTTAGTTATTTTTAGCTACTGTGTGAGTGTGGCTCCTGGTGAACTGGTTCTTCTTCTTCGAGGCTCTCCTTCAGTTACAACTACAAATTTTGCTCATTCCATAAAATAACATTTACATTCATTGATTCTAAATAATAAAACGGAATTAACTCGACAATTTGTTTTCAATTTTCTATATATAAACATAGATTTTATCGAACTGCTGCCAAAAATAAAAAAACCGTAACTAAAGAAATCCGTTTGAAATGGGTATGTATGCGTGAGTATGTGTCCGCTGTCTGCCTTTGTGTTTTTGTTAGTTTGTGTATGTTCGTTCAGTGGTGGCTGTTGCTTTTGCCGTACATTGGGCGTTGCTCGTTCTTCCGCAGTGCAAGCCCCCGGATCGAAACATACAGAACGGAGCGCGCAGCTTAGACCTTCTCCTCCTCAAGTCCATGCTTGAAAAACATGAAAACTGGAACGCTTTGGCCATCGATGTCTCGGTATTCACACATGGCTACCATGCCGTCGACATCCATGGATTCTCCCGTGAAGAACTGCAGCTCCTTAAAACGACCCAGAATGTCTTTCATAGCTTTGTTCATGTTGGTTTTGAAAATTTCAACCTGGTCGGGGGCGGTTTCCTGCAGTTTTGCCAGAACTTTCTTCATGTATTCTTTCAGGTAGACAGTGTACGACTTTTTATCTCCGAAGGCAAAAGATTCTGCCAGACGGTGATTCAGAACAATATCGACTCCTCGCTCGACATTTACTTCTGTGCCTTCATCCGCTTCTTCGGCCGAGGGATTAGAGCCTGCAAGCTGAATATCTCCTTCTGTACGGCTGATTAATTTTCCATAGACTTCGTAGATAACCTCATCAACCAGTTTTATTTTGTAGGTGTCGGTAAACATCTCATCACCGGTAATGATATCCTTGTAGATTTTCATCTTGGCGTTGGTGTTTTAAAATATGAGTTCAAATTTCTGGCAAAATTGCAATTAACAACTGCACGGAACCGGAGCCACAACTGCCACGCGCTGAAACAGTAAAAAGAAGGAACGAGACGAAAAAAATGGCGCATGCTGTTAACTTAGCATTTTGCTCAACTGTTAGGAGCAGTGAGCAATAGTGTTACCAGTGTTACTATCGGAACATTTTTATGGTAAAATTACTTAATTTTCATACTGCAAATAAAATAAGTTCTAACTACTTCGTCTTGATAGAATTTATTTAATTTTGTATGGTGACTCAATCTTTGCTAATGGACTAAAATTTTATACCTGTTGAAATATTTAAGAAATAAATATTGGCCAACAGTGTCAAATGAGTAAATAGTAATTTTGAACTATCGTCAAAATTTGTCGATGAGTAGCTTTCGATTTTCTTTTAATGTCCGTTCAATTTAAAAGTTTGAATACTTGAAAAGAAAGTAAGCCTACGCATGCTGATGCAATGTATATAGTTTGTATGTTTGTTTATTTGTTTATTATCAAAAATTTCCCACAGGCGTTTTTTTTTTTTAATTTTTTGCGTCATTCTTAGAACTTTGGAATTGTGCCAAAATATGGAATGTAGAATATATGTATGTGCTTATCGTATATTGATATCATGCGCCCATTTAAATTGTAGTATTTATATTTTAGAGTATTAATTAATTAATTTCTGTTCTGAGAAGCTCTTTATTAATTCAAATTAGCATCTTAAAATAAAGGGAGGAATATATGTATGTATAAAATACAATATATTCTGGGTAGAAAAATGAATAAAAAATATATTAATACTTAAATAAAGCCACTAACCATAGAACACAGCGGTCAGTGATAAAACCACTAACCAGAAAACACATAGACCGGACACGTAGTGTAAAGCGGTTAGTGATATAACCAAACACTCAAGCATCTATCATCTAAAGATTTTGACGATAGTCAAGAACTTTTACGCACATTTCTAGAAATATACTTAACAGTACCATGTTATCCAATATTTATTTAATTAATTTAGACACTGACCAAATTTAGATAAATATGTTTTCGCCAACGAAAGTATAATCATCTTATATAACTTACCTAAGGAACGACTCATTCTATATTTCTTCTTTTGAAAATTAATTTTATTGCTGGCTTTAATTAAAGACAATTATCAGAGATTTAAGATTGATTTACATCACTTCGGCCTCCATTTGGCAACCATTCAAAGCCGCCAAAATATTTCTGGCCGTTATACGGGACATCTCCTTGCGTGTTTCAATGTCTGCGCTGCCAATATGCGGCAATATAACAATATTATCTAGTTTTAAGAGTGGATCATCAAGTGGCAGTGGCTCTGGTGTGGTCACATCCAAGCCTGCAGCAAGTATCCGCTTCGAATGGAGTGCGTCATAAAGAGCATTTTGATCCACATTTCCACCTCGTGCCGTATTGATAAAAATGCAATTGGGTTTCATTTTCTCAAATGCAGAAGCATTAAATACTTCCTTGGTATCAGGGGTTAGAGAGCAGCAAACCACAATAAAATCCGATAAGCAGAGCATCTCGTCAAAGTCCACGCGCCGAGCATTAACCTTAGCTGCCTCCGCTGGCCTAGCAGTGCGAGTCGTATAGGTTATCTGAGCTGGTTTGAAAGGTACAATGCGAGCAGCAATCTCCTGACCAATGCGCCCAAATCCATATAAACCAACACGCGAGTTCTTCAATCCTTGACCACACATCCACATGGGTGCCCACGATTTCCAGCCGCCATTGTAAACCTGCTTGCTGGCCTCGAACAAACGTCTATTAGTGGCCAGCAGTAATGCGAGCGTTAGCTCGGCTGTGGCGTCGGTCAGCACGTCGGGCGTGTACCCAACGCGAATGCCACGTTTTTTGCACTCCTCCACATCAATGTGCTCAAAACCCACTGAAATGGTGGCCACGCATTTTAACTGCGTTCCAGCCGCATCAAGCACGGCGGCATCGATTTTATCCGTTAGAGCACAGTATAGAGCATCCTTGCCCTTAACCTGACGAAGTAATTCATCTCGCGGCACTGGCAAAGGCTGTGACCATGTTGACACATTGCAACTGCTCAAAAACATCAGATAACGAGATTAAAAATAATTTACGGCATCCAACAACAAACAACCTCTTACGCAGCAATTCCAGTCCACTGTCATCCACATCCGGACGAGTCACATAAACATTTGGCTGGGAACTCATTGATACCTTTTGTAACAGTTGAGAAAGGCCTCTGGCCTGTTGAATGTGTCGTAGCTTTATTTTATGCATGTTAACTTCAGCTCGGGCTCAAGAATTATGTTATCCAGTTTTTCTTTATTGTGTGCATTTGGATTGTCGACTATTGGGCACACTGTTTTTCTAAACAGTTTCTTTTGAGCTTAACAGATAGATGATTGTTAGTAACTAGAAGAATCTAAAAGTTTTCCAACTGAATTATTCGGTAATTTTTCTGCAATGGATTGGTACGTTGGCAAAGAGTGGAGCGACGCAGCTCGTGGTCTGCAGAAAAAAGTGCTAAGTTTAGAATTCCAAAGGGTTGAGAAACCCCTTTTGGTAAGCACTGTCGCATTTACCGTAAAAAAGCCGTGCGCTAACTTGGGCTCCAGGCCCACTAAATACTTGGCCTCCAAAGAGCCACAACAGTACACATTGGAGATGGGCAGCGCAGATAGCCCCATTGATTGCTATATAGAAATATTATTGCAACAGTTTGTAATCGGCGAAACCTCAGCTTGCAGCATTACCACCAAAACTGGCGAATGTTTGGAATTTGAGCTGAAGTTAGATCGAATTGTGAGCAATAAGCAAATCGACAAACTGAGCGCAGGAGAAATGTATAATCTTGCATTAAAGTACAAAGAGAAAGGCGTAGCCATGTATAAGGCATATCCGAAGTTTGCCTGCGACTATTTCTCACGTGCAGCTAAATTACTAATCACATACAAACCATTCGACAAACTGGATAAGCAAAAAAATGGTATCGCTGGCAATGAAATGGAGCAGCTCTTCGTGCAGATACAAACCAACTTGGCTGCTTGTATGATACTAGAGAAACGTTACGAGCACGTTATATACCACACAGAATTTGTGGATACCCAGGAGCAACCGAGCGAGAAGAGTATCTATCGGCGCGCATTGGCCTTCTATTACCTGAAAGAGTTTGAAAAGGCGCAAAATTTGATCGAGCGAGTGCCCCAGTACGAAGATAAACGAGAATTTACTAAATTGCGGGACAATATAGCAACAAGCTGGAAAAGCAGCAATGCCAACTATAAGCAGCTGGTGCAGCGAATGTTTACCTAGATACGGATGTCACAGAAATAAATCACACTATGTAGTAGTAAAAATATTCTGCTTATGTATTTGCTACTTTTCCTTAGTCTTCTTTAAAGGTTTCTGATTTAATTTAGCTTTCTTGTTTTTGTGCTTCATGCCGGCTGGTAATTTGGGACGCTTTCTCGAAGCCGTGTTATCCAATTTAAAAAGTTCTGTAAAAAGTGATAAAAATAAATACATATGATCAATATTATTGCATCAGGACTATATCAACACTCACCCTCGTCCGGTTCTTCGCCAACTTCATCTTTGTAATATTGAGCATCATCGTCCGCATCACTTGCATTTTCTTCAGTTTCTTTGCGCCTCACTTCCCTGTTTTGCTCTTTCTTCAATTTCAAATTGCGTTCGCGATTCTCGTTCTGTTGCTTCTTGCGCAGCTCTTTCAATTTGCGTTTCTTTTCAATTAATTTACGTAGTGCTTCCTTCTCTTCCTCAGTTTTGACAATATGATCGTGATAAAGCACTTCGCCGGTTAGTAAACCCTCCTCGATCTTCATAAGCTGCATTGTTAGGCGAGGTCCAATTTCATGCAGCTTCACAGAGCTTTTGTGGTTTTCGAAATTCCCTTTGCCTTTCACTGTTTGGGGCAACACCACATGTGATTGCTCATCGTCGTCGGCATCCGCTTCCGAAGCATATCCATCCCTACAAAATTCCAATAGTACATAAGATGGCTTCAATGTTAGACAATATTGGTCTTACTTCATCACAAAATCGACAACTTCCTCACATTTGTTGAGATTTGGCACATTACCGCTGACAATTTTCTGCACAGCTCGTTTTAGACCCACTGGAACCACCTGCACCGCATAATGGCGCATGTCCACAAGCTTTGTTTCTGAATTATAAGAGAACAGAAGGCAGCGGCGTATGGTATCAATGTTAACTTGAGCCAAATTGATTGATGGAAACATGTTCTGAAATGTTGAGGCCATTAATTTCAAATGTTTCCCTTCGCCGCTAAAGTTGTTCATGATCACAAGCGGTGGATGTTTGAAATAATCAACATCAAACATTTGCTTCTTACTGCTAGAGATGACGTCACGTGCAAGCGTAAACTGATGCACCTGTTGACCACGAGAGGTATTATCATATAGACAATTCATATTCATCGTAAAAGCAAATCTATTCAAAATACCTTGAACGTTAAAGATGGGCCACGCGGTAAGCGAAGCACTTTAAAGGACAACTGTGTAGATGCTTTGTTGAAAATTGCCATGTGCGAGACGTGAAAGAAGCTGCTTAGACTAACAAAATCTTTGATGCGATTTATTTTCTTTTCACGCAAATTGGATGCAGTAAACGGCTCCATTATTCGACGAAAGTCAACAGTTAAATCCGCGATATACGGACAGGACAGACCGCGGTGTATGACGAACGAATGTGGGGCCTCAACTATTTCACTTGGTTCACTGGCTTTGAACGCTGCAGTGCGCGTTTTCGGATGTACTTTCTTTTTACCACCTCCCATTTCCTTATAAAAAATATATTTAAACAATTATCAAAGCCACAACCGCACGTGTTGCTAAAGCATTCAGCTGATTGGCTCGATACATCGATAAATGCATTCAAGAATTATAAGGTGACCAAATATATATATCTATAATAAAATATATCGATACATTTTTTCTTAAATATTGCATTTCATTTATTTTAATAATATTGGACACTACAATTCGTGAATAAATTGATTGATGTATATGTAAATTTATATTTATAATGTATACGATTATTCTTCACTGATCAAATAATTATCATGAATATTTCACTGCACATAGAATGTCGATGATTATCATGCACAAGTTAGAGTGCCCATTTAAAACCATTTTTGAAACGAAAAACTGTGGCGGAAAAAGTACACTTTAAAATCAACAGTTGATATACAAGCGTAAACTTGATTTATTTAAATTATAAATATTTACCAACATATCTGTTTGTTTGTGTATTTAAAGTTTCATTACTGTTTATTTTATCAGCTAGCTATTAACGAATTCCTGGGGTCAATTTAAAATTGAATTTTCAAAGTTTCTGCATTTATGCGCTTTAATGTTAAAACTAACCATAATATTTTAGATTTATGTTTCAATTTTATTTCATACGTAAAAAAGGTATTACATTAACCAATAAAAAAGGGTTTGTAACGACGCAAGCAACTACAATGGAGAGAAATCGGTTGACGTAAGGGAAATTTGAAACATTAATGATAAATAGACTATAATGAATAAGAGCCAGGTCAAAAGTGTATTCATTGTATATGTTAAGTTTGCCTAATTTTGCTGGAAAAACAATACGACATCTAATGGAACTTACATAGCAATGTTGTAGTTGTTTAATTTCCTTTTTTTTTTTTTTTTTTTTAAATACAACTATATATTTAAGTTGTGAAAATTAATAATATTAATATATTTAATATTAGCATTTATGTATATTTATATAAATTATAGTTACAGCTACAGCTTAAACTGAATTTGGAGTGTTTTAGTGTTTCCCTTTATGCTTTTGTAACTTTTTTCATCAGACCTCGAAGTTATCGATGCTTTATGCGATATATATTAAAACTTCAGTTTAAACTGCTGTTAACTACAGCCGGATGTTGATGTTGCGATTGTTGTTTTGCTTTTGTTGTTGGTATATTTTTTATGCATATATGACAAACTGCTTGTGGCTGTGGTTCAAAAAATAACATCTTATGCCGTTGTTATAGTTGTAATTGTTGTTGCTCTTGCTCTTGCTATTGCTGTTCTGGCTGTTACAGGCGGCAGTTGCTACTCCTGTCGCAGTGAATCGTTGGGGCGGTCACTGACAACACTGTTTGCGAACATCGGCTGTAACAGTGGGCTTTACATCGATGGGCTCCACATTTGAGGGACGAATAACATCACCTTCAGGAGGATCTCTAATTTGTTTCTGCGACACAATGCGATAGATCTCTGTAAGCGGAAATCCGGTTAGAATTTTTAGATTTACTTTACAGTAAGTGGATTTTATACCTGTGAGTATATTTTGGAATGCGGTTTCAACGTTCGTCGAGTCCAAGGCCGATGTTTCTATGAAACTTAAGCCATTGCGCTCCGCAAACAGTTTTGCTTCATCCGTCGGCACCGAGCGCAAGTGTCGCAAATCAGATTTGTTGCCCACCAACATTATTACAATATTCTGGTCGGCATGATCGCGGAGCTCTCGCAGCCATCGCTCAACATTCTCGTATGTCAAATGCTTGGCAATATCGTAAACGAGCAGAGCCCCAACAGCACCACGATAATATGCAGAAGTGATCGCTCGATAGCGCTCCTGACCGGCTGTATCCCAAATTTGCGCCTTAATTGTTTTACCATCCACCTTAGAGAGAAACAAAATATGAGTTTAAATTGCATTGCATATGAAATTGATTTAACAAGGTTACATATATTTTAAGAAAATATTTAAAAAATTAAATATGAATTTTGTTAAATTAAATAAACTAGAAAAAAAATTTGCCTAATTTGTACTAATAACTATATATTAATCTGAATCTGAGTAGAAAAATTTCACTAACTAACCTTTATTCTTATTTTTATTTACTATTCGCAATTCATGGATTAATTAGTAAATAATATTTTTTTTTTTTTAAATCTGAATTATGCTAATTTGGGCGAGAGTATACTCTATTTTTGTAATCTCTCGATTTATTATATATCTATCGATCAATAAGTTTCACCTCTTTAATTATGATAATTAAGTCATTTTTAATAAATATTTGTTCCATTCATACATACAGCATAGATGGAGTGGGTTGGATCGGCATAGGTCGTGGTCCTAACCAAGAATGTATATATTGGCCAACATTCGATTTGCCGATATAAAAAATCTCCATATATTAAGAACTTTTCGGTGATTTATAGACACTATACTATGATATTACGTATGCATATGAACAACTGCAAATATGTGTATACATTAAATGTAAGATGATATTTGTCTGGAATCTGGAGCGCGGATTGAACGATTGTAGAATCCAAGTCCCCTCTCAACACACTTGTAAGAATTGTTTAGTGTATCAATGGAAATCCATCTGGAGATGGATAACAGACTTAGCCAGTGACACTTACCTCTATGCTTCGTGTGGCGAATTCGACACCAATTGTTGATTTGGACTCCAAATTGAATTCATTACGCGTAAAGCGCGACAGCAAATTACTTTTGCCTACGCCAGAGTCACCGATCAGGACAACTATTGGGATTAAAGAAAACATTAACAGAAATCAAACAATAATTGAGCTTTGTCTCTGTAGTTGCATAATTATTGGCTGCGCAGTTCGTTAGCTGGAGCATGGGTTCAACGGGTCATGGGTCATGGATAAATTCTCGTATTAAGTTATTGACGGTGCGTGCCTGAAGGTCAACTAATTTCCTGTTATGCTCTTGTGGAATATTAGTGATGGTGATAAAATGTAACGCTTTATGGCCAACCAGACCACTCAAATTTACTGATTCCTACATTTGAATTTTGCTACACTGTTTACAAATTGATAACATTTTCGGCATAATTTTTATTGTCACATTTGCAATTTCTACTTTTAGCACTATGTGTTTTGTTTATCTAGCATGTGATAATATAATCTCTACTCTCTCACACTCACACACACACTCTCACTCTCTCTCCTTCCCTTCCTTCCTTATTCTATCACTTTCTTTCATTTTATCTCTGTCTTTCTCTCTCTCTCTCTCTCTCTCTCTCCCTCGCTCTGTTCTCTGTTTTCTCTTACACTGATTATCGCTTTCGAAGCTTTTTTTTTAAATGTTGTAAATGTGAGTGCTCAGTCTGAAGTTATCAGCAGTATTTTTGATTGCTTGACAGCTGCTCACGAGTAACGGTGATTCATAGCTTTATTTTCTTTTTACAGATCTGCTGTAGGTCCATTAAGTTAACACAACATCCATTTATGTAGAAGATATTTAATGTGCTTCTACTGTCTGTCATTATGTACAAAGAGAAAAATGTATAGCAAATTTTGGATTTCAGCCATGAAGTTACCAAGCCAACTAATCGCTTATCGTTTTTTTTGTTACTGTGCGTCAGACTTTAAATATGTAAAAAAAATTCTGATAATTTGACAAATTTAATCTCACTTAATAGTCACAACACTCCCACGTAATGCAATAATTGCTCAAAAAGTCTTTAACTATATAACGGGGCGACTTCACTTTAGAATTGAGCAGTTTGAAAGCCTAGTACTTAGTACTCTCGTATGCAAACGAGAGTACGAAGAGAAAATGCTGACCCCAAAATACCTAAGCACACACAAAAAAGCTGACAACAAAGAATAAGTGAGAAGTTTGTGACTGGCTGCCCGCATACAGCAGTAATTTATTCAAGAACTACAAAACCTACAATGTAGATGAATCTGCTTTGAGAAAATAGATCTTGTCACACAGTGCAAGCAGAAAAGAGTAGCTTTAGCATCCGCTGAGTGTCTACATACTCAGCTTCATATAAACTCTCCGACAACAAAATCATGTAGTTTTCATTCAGTTTGTGAGCAGAGTGAGAGAGCGACAATAAAAGCAAAGCCAACTCATAACAGATGTGAGCAAAAGAAGCATATGCAAAAGAAATTGCAAATTCAATATAAAAGCTATCGCACAGAAAAAAAAGAAAAACAATAATATATACATATATACTAAATTAGCTGCTCTTGAACTGCTGTCTAATTAAAAAACAACACACACACACCTAGTTTCTGTAGTTTTAATATAACTAAAAGCTAGTCAAAGTAAAAATCATTGTTTTTACTATTTGACTCTTTTATCATGATTATTATTACGATTTATGCAACGTGTCACACTGGCTGCTGCCAACAGAAGCAAAGAACGAACAGCAATGGAAACGCAATGACAAACTGACAGCACTTAACGGCGAAGTAGTTACGGGTGTATTTGAACAAAGAAAGGGGACGATGAAGAGGCACGGCTGTAATGTAAAGAGAGCACGAGAAAGCAAAAGGGCACACAACAACAACAACAACAATATACACACATAAAAGTCGTATAGAATTCAGCTAAGCACCGCTAGGGGGCGTATTTTGTGATATTGCCCTGAAGAACATTTTTACGAAATAACGCGATCGGAAATAATAATAAAATAAACATATGGACTTTAAAGCATACGGGTCTGTGGACATATGAATGCCATGTCTGCATTTGTTATGCCAATTAGTTTTAATTAGTGCCGTTGAACTACTGCGTCATAATTGCCACATTAAAATTGTAAGCCTTGTTCCTTTTCGAAATTCTCGAATCCCACGACCAGTGAAACCAACCAACAACCGGCTAGTGGATAATTAATTACAATCAGCGCAACCTTAGATCCATGTTTATAATTTTTACCTTTGAAAAGATAATCGTATTCGTCTTCCCTTGCACCCATTTTGTTGTGTGTTTAAATGACTTGTTCCTCCTGCTCCTACTGATTGGGATACTCGCGTGTGTGTCTGTGTAAATGTAAAATCCAATAATCCTTACGCGCCGCCGTTTCTTAATGCGTTTTTCTTTATCCGTGTATTTTGCTCTCACACTTTGCACACTTTTATTTGTAGTTGTAATCGGGACAATATAAAGAAAAGAAAAATTATATCAATTCGATTTCAAATGGGCGTTTGCAATTTTTAATCTTGCTTTCACGTAAGGTAACCGTTGTGCGACAATTACTGCAATAACAGTTGCCAGTTTGTGTGGCGTATTAATGCATTTATTATTAATTTTCTTAGTCGCGACACACACTCACTTAGACTTAGTCACTCCCAATATATTCAGCGACGTGAAGTAGGCTGCGGCATGTATGACAATGCAAGTGACAGCCATGAGTACTCGATACTCGATACCCCGCCATGTTGATGACGTCAGTGTAGACCACCCATGTACGTTAAAATTTTGATTTAAATCACCTTGTAAATTAAGCTTTCATTTTTAAAAAAGGTATAAAAATGCATTTATTAAAGTATATAAAACATACAGAAATGGAAAAAGAAGAATAGTAGGTTAAGTATTTAAGGCAAGTAATACTAATGGTTGCTATTTGTTCAATAAATATACATTAAATTTTATATATGTATATAATTTTGTTCTTATTCCACTTTTAAAGCAGATAGATAGTTTTAAATACGTGCACGCTGCAAAGCAAGTGCCGGATAGACAAGCAGCAGTCCACCAGCTATATACGTGATCTTAGAGCCCACGCACCAGAATGCTAAAAATAATTTAAAGATTTAATATAAATCAAATAGAATGCAGTAGATGATTAAAAATAATAATAAGAATTACGTATTAGAGTGTAGCACTTACCTATAGATCCGACAACTGGGCCCAGGGCACGAGCCAGCGCACCTAACGAACGGAATATCCCTAATACTGAACCCTTTTGATCATCGTTGCCATAGCGGGACACTAAGGTAGTCAAACAGGTAACTGCAAATGCAGTGGAGATTGCGAATAGTATCATGCCGGCATAGAGCATTCGACTATTTTCTGCTAGGCCGACTAACACGAAAGCAGGCACAATCAAGTACAGGCTGAATATGGCATAATTTTTTATCTTTGCTTCTGGTAGACGACGTACCACAGATCCCTGTAGCAGAGTCATAACGAGCCCTGTGGTTAAAAACATCTTGGCCTGATCCATCGATGTGTATCCGAACTTATGATACATCAGAAACGTAACAGTGAATTCCAATCCCGAATAGAGGAAGAGATAAAGAAAGTAAATGAGGCCAATACTGCGTAGTGCTTGTATATCTTTTTTAGGCACATTTTTGATGGCGGCAAACCTGCAAAACAAAAGAAAGTTATTTTATACAAATAACAGGCTATACTATTGGGCTGACATATGGGTTACAATGTAGTAAATTAATTATGGGAATTTGCCAAAGTAAGTTAAGCTAATTATTGGGTATCTAATATCCAAATCGTATAGAGCACTATGTACTCTTTATAGTGAGGTATGTCCTACCTCATTCTGCCTGTTACATATTATTGGAATTTAAAATAACAATCATAATATTTATATCTACTAATATAATATAAATCCATATATATAAATTTTACTATACATTTGTTAAGTACATAGATGAATAAGTTTTTTGATCACAAATATTAAAGTGTATTAGTTAAGAAATTTTTAAATATCTAAATAATATTGTGAAAGAACATAGTCTGGAAAAAGCGAAGAAATCTGTAGATGTGAATAAACAGTTTTAATATATATGGAATATATAATAGCACTTAATTTGAGAATATTTTTTTTTTTTTTTTTTTTTTTTTTTTTTTTTTTTCTACAAAACTTACATCTATGAATTTAGGACATATTTAGAGAAATACAAAATTTTGTTATTATATAAAAAAAAATGGTTATAAATTTAAATATACAATTATGTAGACAAATAATTATAATTTGTTATTAATATAGTCATCACAGAGTATATGTACATCGCAAGTCGAATAAATTATAGGTTATACATTGCAACTTTATGTTTAGTCATTCCACTTTATAATTGAGCGAAACAAGTAATCATGCTCATTGATAAGGCAAATCAAATAATGTCCAGCTAAAAACGTGGCCAAGTAGGGCAAAGATAGCGGAGCGGATAGCGGACCATCGCAACTAAATAACCTGTTGGACTAGCAACTGGGCAAAGCATATATAAAAAGACTTGCGATTCGTTTCATAGATGTGTTAATTAAGTATATAAATAGTCAAATGGTAATAATAGTAATAGTACTCACTTAAATATGGAGGAGACGTTGAGCAATTGCAGGCCATATGACAAAGCAGATGAGATTTCGGGAGCACGTTTCTCCTGCACAAAAAAGTAAAAATAAGAACTTAAACAACAAACATACATTATACATTTAAAGAGTCACTAAAGTACCTCAGGTAGTGTTTCCCGCAAACAAAAAGCAAGAAGCAGAACATCTCCTAAAGCCAAGCCCAGAGCCAAGAGGGAGGGCAAAACAAACCAAGCACCGCCGCTGGCGCTTTTATTCGAAAATATTGCAAACATAGCACCTATCATGGGACCCACAATAAACCCAAGGGAAAAAGCAACTCCGACGAGAGCCATGCCTTTACCACGCGTCCGTACGCTGGAGACATCTGTGATGACGCTCATAGAGAGGGAGATGTTGCCTTTGCTGATGCCGCCAACAACGCGCGCCAGCACAAAGAGGGCGAAATTGCGGGAGCAGGCCCAGATAAGATAGGAGAGAGCGATACCCGACTGAAATTGGTAATATTAAATTATAGTAGTACATTGACTGGAGGTTCTCCCATGGTAACAAACATACGGCACAAATGAGCAGAACGGGCTTCCGTCCATAGTAGTCCGAGAGGCTGCCGACAATGGGACTTGCCAGGAATTGTAAAAAGCTGAACATTGAGCCCAAGAATCCGCCAAACAGCACTGATAAATACCGTTCCGGAGCACCGAGTAGCTGCTGGAACCAACGCACACGCGTCGTCAACCAGGCATATAAGCCGGAACTATCATTTATGCGATAATACTCCAAGAGCGAAGGCAACAATGGCAAGATGATTGTAAACGCAAGCAAATCAAAGAGGAGTGACAGGAATATTATATATATCATGGGATCAGTTTTCTCCTTCGGCGCAGTAGGCTTTCCATTGTTGTTATCTTTGTTGTTGCCTTTGCTTTCAAACGGTTGTTCCGTTTCTGGTTCTGTTATTGTTGTTGTACTGTGGCGACTCCGAATGGTGGCCATGTTATTCTAGTATGGGTGCTAAATTGCGTGCGTGTACCTAAATTGATTGTATTATTGTTGAATATGATGACACGGCGTCGACCGCATAACTGTTTATGCGCCCAACCAGTAACTTGGCAAAAACAAAAAGCAGTACGCCAAGTAACCCGCTAAGAAGCAACAGAAGTGAAAGTTGAATTCGAGTGGTTGAGTTTTAGCAACGTTCAGACGGTATGATGAACATTTGAATTGAGCAATTTCGTGTTGTGCTTGCTAGCTGAAAATACTATTTTAAATTATCTAAATGAATAATTATAAATTTGAACTTTTTAAGGCAACTTGTTGTATATCTCATCACAGTGCACTAGACAATTGTCGATAACATTAAATGAGATCAACAGGTTGTTTCAGAGCTGTATCGTCTACGCGCCCCGCGGGATTAGTGCTGCAAAACGTTCGTAAACAGCTGTGCCAAACGCGTTAATCAGCACGCAACAATCAACTGAAATAAATAGGAAATTTCACAGAAGTGCAATATATTGGTTGGGAAAGAAGTAAAATAATGGCTAAAGTGACGGTACAAGACATAGAGGCCGTTGATGATTATTGGGGGCCCACATTTCGATCAATACTCGAAGGTAAGTCTGCATTTGTCTAGTCACAGCGCAGCATGATGATTAACGCCCACTTTACCTCGGCGCAGGTAACAATACTAAGGCAATCAGTGAGCAGTTGGAGCAACGCATACGCAGCCATGATAAGGAGATCGAGCGTATATGCAACTTGTATTATCAGGGTTTTATTGACTCCATACAAGAGTTGCTCCAGGTTCGTACGCAGGCCAAACAGCTACATGATGAAGTCCACTCACTGGATACATCGCTACGCACCATAAGCGCGTCACTTATACAGCAGGGAAACGAGCTTGTGCGAGCTCGTCAAATCGAATCAAATGTGGCCAGTGCCATTGAGGCGCTTAAGTCCTGCCTGCCCGCTTTAGAATGCTACATGAAATTTACACAACAGGCCAAGAACAAGCAATATTATCAGGCACTGCGCACGCTAGAGACCCTGGAAACGGAGCACCTATCGCGCCTAAAGCGACACAACTATCGTTTTGCCACACAAATGCAAACACAGATACCCATCATTAAGGAAAATATTCGCCGCTCATCGGCAGCAGATTTTCGTGAATTTTTGGAGAACATACGCAAGTTTTCGCCGCGTATTGGGGAGCTGGCCATCACCCACACGAAGCAACTTCAAAAGCGTGATATTAATGCCATTATTCAGGAACACAAACAACAAAGTAATAGTGGTGGTAGTGGCGATGATGATGGTGGCAATGTAAGCGCACAAAACTTAATCGATTTCTCACCCATTTATCGCTGCCTGCACATCTATATGGTGCTTGGGCAGCGTGAGTACTTCGAGAAGGACTATCGCCAGCAAAGGCGCGATCAATCGAAGTTGGTTTTGCAGCCTCCACCAAATATGCATGATAATCTCGAAGCCTACAAAACATACATATGCGCAATTGTGGGCTTCTTTGTGGTCGAGGATCATGTGAAGAATACAGCAGGTGATGTGGTCACGAGTAGTTATCTGGAAGAGCTGTGGTCAACATCGCTGACCAAGTTCGTCAATGAGATCAGCATGAGCTCCTCCTCATGTACAGACCCAAATATATTACTACGAATCAAAAATCTTATTATGCTGTCTATAAACACCTTCAAGTGCTATGGCTACACGGTACAAATTTTATGGGAGCTGCTGCATGATATGCGCGATCATTACAATGAGGTAAACCGATAAAATTAGATATTAAATAACCAAAATCATGCCTATCCCTTTTTTCAGGTGTTGCTGCAACGATGGGTTCACGTTTTCCGTGAAATTTTGGACAAGGAGCAATTTGTGCCCATGGTTGTCGAGAACATAGAAGAGTATGAATGCATTATTGAGCGATTTCCATTTCATTCCGAGCAGTTGGAGAATGCTCCTTTCCCAAAACAGTTTCCATTTTCGCGCATGGTGCCTGAGGTTTACCATCAAGCGAAGGAGTTTATGTATGCTTGCATGAAATTCGCCGAGGAGCTGACACTGTCACCCAACGAAGTGGCCGCCAT